CGGGGGGGGGGGGGGAGCTCCTCCTCCTCCTCCTCTGATGCCTGCCTACCTCAATCCTCTGAGAGTTGTGTGGCAGGGCATTCAGTACAGGCGAGAGTGTCCCCAGGGTGGTCCCTGGGATCTGGCGTCTGCTGCGACCATGCTTGATGTGGTAGCTCATCATCACAGCAATGGGGTGTAGCTTGTCCCGGACTTGCTCCTACAACAAAGATAATCACAGTATATCTCGCTTCCCTGAAACAGCTTTGGAATGCAATTCTCAAAATGTTTATCATAGTACATTCAAAAGCCAAAAATTGAACTGGTCTGCTCTGGAAATGGAGTCATTCTGAGGGTTCCAGAATTGCATTCAGAATAGTTTCTTTTTCAGAGCTGGTTTCCTCTGGAACACTTGGAATGACCTATTCCAGGAGGAATGGTCTGCTTCTGCTCTGGAACATTTTATGACAAATTTTGCATACCTCTAACTTCTCCCCCTGCTACTTAGTTCCTATGAGTGCCATGGTGACAAGAGGCCACAGCTGTGAATTCATAGCCAATATTTCAGGCAGGATGTGGTGGTTAATAACAGGCTGTTAGAAATGTTAGGGTGGAAAAACTTAATTGGATGGGGGAATTGTGAAGATCAGTGCAATATGGTAAAACCTAAATGCAGATGGGTCTGATAGGTTAGTTTGTTGCTTAGATGTTAGAAACTGGGCCAAGAATTTGTATATTAGTCATTGCCTTGGACTTCCTAGACATAACATGGGAAGATCTGAATAAAATAGGTTCCTACAAAGTAGTGAAAGGCATTTTAACAGGAATTAAATAATTGAAAAATCTTGAAACAGAAGGCTGGGTCCAACAGCATGTTTATGGACAAAGGACTCTTGCTGTCCACCCCCACCCTCTAATTTGTTTTGGAGGCTTGAGAAATCTACGGAGAAAGAGGAAATACCATTGTGTAAGTGGAGATTCACTGACATAACCCTGGATGCATGCCATATTTTATAAATGGAAATTAAAAATTCAGAAAGGAGCCTGAAATAAATCAAGCCTTCCCTCCCACCTACAGAATAGCCAAGGATAGAAAATCCTCTGTTGTTAGAACTAAGATCTCGTTCACTCAAGGAATTTTATGACTATTGTTATCTAAAATCTACCGCAAGCACCCTGACTTACTTGGCGTCTTTTCAAATTCAGCTTGCATAGATGCTTCAAATACATGGTGACAGGGCCTGTGTACCTGCATGGGGTGATCTATCTGTCTTCTATCTTTTTATTCTCTAAGTTGTTCCATCATCAGCAAAAAGCAAAATGGGGAACTGTTTATGCCACCCCAGAATACCATTGTGGATCTTGTCAACCATGTGCTCAAACCAGCTTCTTTTATGGCTCATTTAGAGCAGACCTAAGAAAGCTGTTTTAGGTGGCTTTCAGAAATCAAGAGCTCTTTGACCTAAGAGATCCAGCAAGCTCTGTTATGAGACCCACCTTCAGTTGTAATGTGGCCTTGGTACAAGCCTTTGATTGTTGTTTGGGCAGTTCCAATGTTCCAGAGTACTGATGCTCAAGATCTTTGGCCTTCCGATTTCGGAAAAAGACTCTAGAGGCTTTTCCTTGCTGCCGGTGGTCACCATCAGCCTCAAAACTGTACTCAAGTCCTGGAGGAAGAAGCAGAGGCTGTGAGCTGGGGCAGAGGAGAAGGTGAAAGAAAAGAGACAAAAAGTTGTTTCTGCTGGTGTCTAGATACAGCTTCTTGAAGAAATATATTCCTTGAACAGGATTCCCTTGCCCAATGTTAAGAGGCTGGTCTACTACACAGTCCATAAGACATAGTGCACCAACTACAACCAGGTTTTTTCTCTAACACCATTATGATTTAGGCATTGAAATAGTGACACAAAACCAAGACTGCAAAGGTATCTAAAGGCAAAGAATCCTGGAAAGTTCCAGCCAATACTCACTGATAGGTGGGCTATAGCTTGGAGGGTTGGCTGTATAGATGAAACAGGCTTGGACTTCCACACTGCTAAAGAAAGCAGAAAGAAAGAAAGGAAGTAGGCCCTGACCTTTTAAAAACTAATTATTTACAGCATCATCACAATGGCCTGGCAACCCCAGTTTAACATTTCTGTCCTCATGATGCTGTTCTTGTCTCAGCCGAAGACCAGAATTGACACAGCCTTATTCTCCTGTTTTCTGTACTACTTGCCAGCCACAAAGCACACAGTAGAGCAACATGCTGCTAAAAGTGCTATTTTAGAAAGGTGCTCATTCAACAATGGAAGGTTATTAACTAGGGCCGTGCAGCAATTGGATTCAAGGAAGAAAAGATCATTTGAAACATGTGGAGGGTGGGTGCGTATCACATCTGAAGGCATATCAGGTCTGTCTTTTCCTGGGATTGTAATGTGCAAGCAGTTTCTTTAAAGAGTTGCTGATAGGTGCAATATGGGCACCCATGCATGCTCTGAATCACATTTTCCCCTTCGATTCCAGATGACTACGTAGATCTATTATTAACACGGAACTCCTCCCACACTTCTGTTTCCATCTACAAAACTGCAGATTCACCCATGGAGTCTGTCATCTCTTTCCTGCCAACCTTCACAAAGATCAGCAGTGTGGCTTCAAAGCACCCATGGGACTATTGCCCCACAACAGTCAGCTGAGGATCATTCAGTGTGTCCAGAAGACATTACTTGCGCTGCACGTTTGCTGTATTTGAAAATATTTGGATGAACAGCCTCAGTCTAAACAAGAGCAATAAAGTGTCCAAAACCATTGTGTATTACCACTCTGACAAGGGCAATATGCCATCTACAGAAAAACATAGATACTAGGCAGTTGTGTGGCACAATGTGGGACAGATACTTATCAGCATGTGCTGACAGTATTTCTGGTGTAAATGGAGTTGCTGATCTTGATCCTTACCACTTCATTCTACCTCTCAGGCATAACTCACCAGACTATGAATTCTTACCCAGAATTTCAAACAACCAGAAACTAAATCTTTAAAGCAAGGAGATCTATATCTAAAATGGCCCATGAGCTAGCTAACTAGCTTGCTTGCTTGCTTCCCTCCCTCCCTCCCTCCAGCTGGGAATAGAATTCAGGGTTCTGTCTTCTGCTTTAACCCACTAATTAATCTTTTCAGTCCAGCACTCTTCCAACATATGTGAGTTACAATCCACCTGAAGTTTTCTGGATTAGGAAGTCTGCCCTCACCCAATATCTATAGAAGATTAAATAGTTTTTATCATAGCATATTCTAAGATATAGCACCAAAGTTACAGGCATATTCATGAAACAGCTGCTTGGTGTTCAGAAAGAAAAAGAGTGGGAAGGGTTGCAGAAGCAAGGAGATACAATCAAGGAAGAAGAGATTTTCCTCACCAGATGCCCTCCAAATAGCGGCAGTTAACATTCTCCAGGTCGACATTTTGGGGGTTGGCAGTAATATTTCTGGAGATATGGATGACAGGTCGAGATCTAAAATGTACATTGGATAGCGGTAAGACACTGAGCCAGCTGCAGACACTGAGGCCCATTGAAGCCCAAACTGTTAAGAACGTATGAGTTGTGACAGCATTTGGTAATGCTCAAGGATCCTAACTGAACATCCAAATGGGCTGGGAAAGTTCTCACATTTATGGCGGAGATACATTATGTTCCTTCCCTTGGTTCCTTATACTTTGTATAAAGAACATGTCATGTTTTCCTCAAATCTATTTCCAATTATAATTTCAGTAGTAGTAGAAGAGTCATATGGATTATAAACAGATCTAATCATAATCATGGTGGATTCCCCAAACCCATCTCCTTCTTGTGCTCGCAAGTCATTTCTTTTACATAATAGTTTGGCTGGTACTCTATGAAGTATAGCCTGGTATTCTGGACTTTGTCAATAGCCCACCCTTCCTGCTGATCTTTACTACTCATAAAATCTGTATTACGTTTCTCCATGGGAGACTGCAACCTTAAGACAGATGCCCGGTACCTTACCCCATACATGTAAGTTATGGTGGCAGGGGCTACAGATATCACTAGACATAAAACCTGACCCCAGAACGTATTGGAGGGTATTATCAGCTTGGTGGTGCTTGATATCCTGCAGCACCAGTCTGACCATGTCTAGGTTCAGAACTATTTGTGGCTGGATGGGCTCTACCCTAGACCCGTCCTGCCCTATTATGCCTTATAGCATGCACCTCCTCGGCATTGTCGGATCATGCTGTTACAATTCAGCAAGAAAATGGCAGTGCAATTTCAGGTCATTTCAAGCCAAACTGCATTCCCCTTCCTCTAAACATTCCCCTTTGCTGTCCTTTATGCTTCTGCTAGTGTTAGGACAGGACAAGATGTGAGACCCTCCCCTAAAAGGAGGAAGGACTTTTCTTTGAAAAAAATTTAAGCTGGAGGAATCCTGCTTTCAAGAAAATGGTTGCAGCAGGAAAGGACTTGGAAATATAATCAGGGAGGAATCAGTGGTGTTAGCTAATGTCCTATGATGCCTTTTATTTATTTGTTAGATTTTTATCCTACTTATTGTATAGGAGCTCACACTGTTCCATCCTCCTGTTTTTCTCCCCAAGACTATCCTTGTTTGTTGGCTCAAAGTCACCCAATGAGTTTCCCTTTAAGCAACTTAATCAATGCAGTTCATTTCCCCCTCTTTTCTCAGGTTTACCTGTACAATACTACTGCATCAGACAGTGAGCCCACAAGAAGATCCGGATAAAAGTTGCCATCAATATCCAGCCCTCCAGAAAAGGAATAGCCAAACATCTTGATGCCAACGCTCTCCCCAGTCAGGATCTACAGAGATCGAGGGTGTAGTAATCAGTGGGAAGTAATGATGATAAATACAGGGAAGGGGATGTATGTGGTCAGCTTCACTAGGTAGACCAGACTAGGAAATCAACTCCACAGGAAGGCTAAAACTACTTTCATTGAGAGTGGCTATAACAACAGAATCTGGGAACTCTGATTGTGCTGCACCTCCTCTCCTTTCTTATGCTCCAATGAGTTAAGGAGGCATCAGTCTGAGCCACTTCTGAATGTTACCTCGTTGTTCTGGACTTAAAAAATGCTTCAGCCCTTTTTGCCCAGTCAGTGTTTCTCAACCATTTTTCACCCATGGCCTCCTTCTGACCTTGTTTTTCTCCTGTGGCCCCCTGTCCAGATCCCATTACCAAGTATGGACATGTAACTGGTGCATTTTCTGGCATCAACAAGACAGTATATGCAGTATACGTTTTTCTGTGGCCCCTTTGGCATGTGCCATGGCCCCCCGTTACATGTTTTTCACCTGTAGCCCACTTGAATTATCCTAGGGCCCCCCGGGGGCCAAATGGCCCCTGTTGAGAACTGCTGGCTTAGGCAACAGTTCCTCCATATCTCTGTCAGGATAATCTTCCTTACTTTCCACATATGCAGACCCAAGGCAGAGAGTAAAGATGCAATATTTCCCAATCTCTGACTTAACTTGAAGGAAGGGGACTGACCTGGGCAGGTTTTGTCACAATTCCCAAATTACTGCCATGATAGATGTAGACTTTGCCATCACCATCCACTGGGGCTCCAACCGCAAAGTCTGGAAAGAAAGAAATTGGGGTGGAGGGAGGTAAGAACCACACACCATAGCAGTTCTAATTATATTACAAATTCCTAGCTTGCATAAGCACTTCTAACACAGACATAGTCAGGTACTACTATGCCATGGCAGCTAGTTTAATTTTAGTGTCATACATATTTATTTAAACACTCAATACATGTAAATATACACATATACAGTAACTGTTACTTTTACCATATGTGCCCGCATCACATAATCCAGGATAGCCCAAGATTCAATGCTTCTAATATTGTCTCTCCCCTATTTTCTTTCCTCACACATGCTTACTTCTCCAATGGTTCTCTTTCTATTTCAGGTGCCAGCCAACACTGTCCTACACACAGGCTTTTGAAAGTTTGTCCCCCTAATTCTGAGAGGCCTGCTTTCAAACATGTATATTTTGCTTGGCCCCCAGAATCCTCCTAACCATAACTCAAACTCACAGATAGAACCAATCTAAAAATTTGCACCCTCCTTTCCCACAACAGGTTCAACAATCTCACCTTGAAAACCATCTTGGTTGAGATCACCAATGGCACCCACTACGATGCCAAACAAGGAGTCATAGGAGCCATTGAGGCGAATAGGGAGGATGTTTTCCCAGCGCCCTGCCTGGTTGATGTAAACGTAGACAGCACCCCCGATCCGTTCCTTTCGATCAAAGAAGTTTGGTGCTCCAACCACCAAGTCCATCCATCTAAAGGAAACAAGCTGTAAGTGTGGCTCACACCTTGTTCTTGGCACACCAGCAGCCAGAGTAGTAGGAAAGAATGAGCAAGCAACTCACTACCCTTCCTCAGATGGCTTTGCAAACCCTGCTCCATCAGGGCTTCCTGAGCACTTGGGCTAGAGAGGGCGATGGGCCACCCAGAGCAAGACTATAATAGAGCATGAAACAGAGCCTGGAGCAAAGAGCCCTTCAGGCACAGGGCTCTTTCCTTCCTACATTACTCACCCATCATGATTGAGATCCACTACAGCCAGGGAGTAGCCAAAGGATGAAGTCAGTTTCTCTCCTGGGAGGATAACCTCAGGCACTAAGCGGTTAACATTGTCTTTATGCAGGATCACCACTGATCCAATATGATTTGCTCGGGGTGCCCCTGTTACAAAGCTCAGCTCATTCTTCCTGGTTATCCCCACTCCAGAGTCTAAAGAAAAACCTGGAATGGGAGGAAGGGGTACTTCATTATCTGAGAAAGAGGTGTTATTGTGCATTAATGCAATATTCCCAGAATTTTCGTTCCAAAACTTACAAGATGAGCTATAAAATCATGAGCTTTCAATACTGGTACCAATACCAGGTCTACATTTAATGTGTGAATGAACAAACATGTACACACCTGCATGCTCGCTCTCTCTCTCACACACACACACACACACACACACACGCCATTCATAAACATCACAGGCCCAGGACCTACTTTCAACAGGTTGACATTTTTGTCCCTTAATTGTTCGGAGAAGGAAAGCCACTAAAATCACATATGAGAAAAATAATAAGGTCCTCAAGTCATTGTTTTATCTGCTCTTTGGTTTGGTTTTGGAACCTAAGCCTCAGTGTTGCACAAAATGGTAATTTAAAGTTGCTGTATATTGAAAGAACCCTTATCATGAAAATGAGAAACATCAGAGAGGATCTCCTTTGGATCCAGCAGCCATTGTAACTGTTTGTGGAACTGGTTGGAAAACTGAAGATGCCTCTTCTCCTTTACAACTCTTTTCCCTTGTCCTTTGGGGCATATGGTTCTTCCTCACGGCTGAGTTAAATTGTTATCCACCAGCAGCAAAATACGTCGGTGTCAGCTATGCTGCTCCCACTGCCTATCCCTATTACGCCACAGTTATAAGCCTGGCAAATGGTGCTGCCCTTTCTCTTTGGGGGCCACATGAAGGAAGGGGATCGCTGGATTTCCCCAGATTTGTCTCCCTTCCCACCAAGCAAGCCAAACTATATCCACTGTAAAGACTGTTTGGGAAGAGGAGGGAAATCAGTACTTTAAAACCAGTACAGCTAAGAACAGCAGCTGGGGATGGGACAAACACAATATCATGAGGACCAGGCAGGAAAAAAGAAATTGCTGTGTCATTTTCATGCTACAGGGGCAAGAGAAGAGGATCTCTTAGAGAGGGAAAATCTCTTTAAGAGAAAAAGCATTCCTTTCTGAAAACGGCAGGCAAACTTCATAGGCTCTGCTGTCTCATTAGAGTCTTTCTTGGCCTTGCCAATCTCTCAAGGGACTGAGAGAGTTTTGGCTTGAGGGACAACTCCTGATCCGGAATGCAAAGGCTCCTCTAAATACATGCCCTGGTAATCTCCCAGAAGACTGAGTTTTCTGTTCTGAAATCTGGGAGGAAATCAGCTTTTCAACTAATTCCCAGGAAAGAGCCTGTGATTCATCTGGAAATGGGACACAGTAGTAGGATCTTGTGGCAACTTAAAAGTCTAGGAATTTTGTCATAGTATAAACTTTTGTACCTATGGTCTACATCAGAATATTATCCCAAGAACAGAATATTATATTCAAGTTAAGTATCCCTGTGGTGACTTAACTCGAAATATAGCAAAAAAAGCAGTAAGTGGTCATTTTTCCTCGGCTATGCACCTATAGTTTAGGTTCACGTGACAGGTTTAACTGAGTCATTTAAAGGTCCAATGTGTCATGTAAATCTAGGCACCAAGGTCACTGTGGGTTATTGACGAAGGGACCACGTGAAATCAAAAAGAGATTCATTCTTCCTTCTGGGCCTTTGCAGCCCTGCAAAGGGGAGTGCTGTCCTAGAAAGCCCTCCAATTCAATTTCTCATTTGCACCTCTCTGTAGTGGACGGAGGGCAAAAGGGGGCCAGAAAATGGGTGGGACAGCTAAACCTCTCCCTCACCTTGCCTTGGCAGTTCCAACCTCAATCAGACCACTGTGGATTTCAATTTCAAAAAATGTTGAAAATGCCTTTAGCTACCAGCTGCAAAGGAGGTGGAATACTGATCAAGATGGCTAGTTCCTATCTTACCAGGGTGGTGTTTGCTGTTCATATCAATCAGTTTCTGCTGGGTCACCAGGCAGACTGCCCCAAAAGCAGCACCAAACGCAGGGCCTTAGCCCCATTTCCCCTAAACTACCACAGAACAAACATGCCCTGCCAATTTTTTCTTCCTACCCTGTTCCCTTGGGCTAGGAATGGGTAGGGACCCATTGTCTTCCATGAATGCCCCAATTACATCCTTTCTCCGCACCTTTGTCACACTCCTGACTCCCTCTCTCACCTCACACACACATACACACACAGCGCCAAATGCTAGTAAAGCTCTGACACAGTTCTGACTAAAACATACTACTGCAACATATTATAGAAGTAGGCAGATGTAGATAACATATCATAATGTCTTCTGAGCACAGAAGTTTATATTCTTTGAAATGCAGAATATCCAACATGCCTTCGGAAGCATACCAAAATAATGTGGCATTTCTCTACTACCATAACTGTTTTCAAACATAGATTAAAAAGAAAAAAAAACTTCAATTTTTAGCTATGATATTCTTGATGCCCATGTTAGTGGTGCTAATCCCTATTGAAACAGACTGTATGGAGAGAACTGAACAGACATTATTAAGGTATTTACTGAACTGCTTTTCCCCAGCCTTCTATCCTAGCCATAGGCCCCCTGTTACAGCAGCCTGAACAAACAACCATCCTCAGATCCCTGTTCTCTTACTGTTACTGCCCCAGCAGGAGCTGTGAATGAAGGCCTCTGCTGGTTGAAAGTAGCAGGACTTGAGAATTTGAATCCCCTGTACTTGGGGGAGGCAGAGAAGGGGGAATGACAAACACAACAGAAGGGGAAAACAACAGAAACTAGCTAAAAATAATAGTGGAGAGGAAGAGGTGGCAAGAGGCAGAAATCACTGAGACGGGCACACCAACACCTTACAAACCTAAGTAGCTATTCTGGGCTACGTCTCCAACAGTCCCGGGGACCCGTTCGCTGGGTTCTGGCGTTTTATAGACCAACTGATCAGGGTCTGAGCTATCAATGTTTGTCACAAACAATATCCCTGCAAGGCCAATGGAAGGAGAGAGAGAGGAGAGAGAGAAGGTTAGCGGTATAAGAAAGCTTGGCGCCCAGGCAGGGAAACACCACAGAGCATTGGGCAGGAGTCAGGAGACTTCCAGGGCCTGGGTTGTGCTCACACACTATTGTCCAGGTGAGCCCCAGTCTATATTGTTGCTGCTCAAACCATTCTGCTTCCGAGGTACAATGGCCCAGGTGAAAAGAATGACATCAGAGCTTATTACAAATGAAAGTGACTCTTCCAATCAGGAGTCCACTCGTGAGCTTGGAACGATGCTTATGGCCAGTCTTCAGATGGATTTTTAGCCTCCCACCACCAATGCCCTGCCCTGTGACGGCCTGTCTGATTGCTCTGCAGTGCTTGGCCTGCTGGGCACAACCCCGTACCGAGGTAGCTGTTGGCTGGCAAGGGGATGAGCGAGGGGTCCTGGTCCTTTTCTCCCCCGGCTTCATATGGCCCATCGTCGTACTGACCGAAATCCAAGCCACTCAGCTCTGCCCGTATGGTCCCTGCCAAACCAAATACCTGTTAATGATGGGCAGAGTGAGGGAGACATTGGGGGGAAATGTCCAGTCTTGCAGTGTGGTAGGAGAGCAAGGCCTTTGCTCAGGCTTGCCTTTCTATAGGGGTAACTGAAGAGTCAACTGGCTTGTCAACAAATCTATAGGGAGGGTCTGGACACATGTTCAAAACTAGAATGCCTCTTAGAATGATGCTAAGACCAAAGAAACAGAAGGTACAATGGGCACTTCCCAGCAACACAAGCCCTAGACTTGGTTTTCACAAGCCCACTAGCTCCTCTGTCTCCTAGGACATTAAAGATCCTTGGACCAAGCTTGTCTTTGCAGCAGCCGTAAGTGGAGGTACTCATGGACTAGATAGACAAGCTGTGGGGCTGTGATGTGGTGATTATGCCCATTATCTGTTCTTTCTGGCACAGCAGAATATGCCTGTTGGTACTGGTCATGTTGGGGAGCTCCTATCCTTCAGAGGCAGAACATCAGATTTGCAGTCAGAAAACCCTCCACACAATCCCTGGTACGTCCATGTAGGATTGGAGGGGCAGGGGACAGACCCCTTCCAGTGACATTCACTATACAGAATACTGAAAGAAACCCCCCAAGGGCTTCCTGTGAGTCACATAGGAGGATATATTCCCAGATTTGGATACCAGTTGATGATGGCATGGATGGTACCCACAGCCATCCTATTCCTTTGGGGAAGGGTTTTGCAGCTTCAGATGGGGATACGGTGTAATTGGGATGCTTGCCAAGGTATGGGTTGGGGCTCCCTTACTTGATATTCTTTGTCAAAGGCAAAGGCTGGCCAGCTTACCCTTCCAGTTGTAGGTGCCAGGTGCCCCAAAGAGGATGTAATGCCTATCTGCAGTGAAGCCCGTGGCTATCCCCTGCTGGCAGAAACCAAAGCGTTCGTGCCCATGATACCGCCCTTCACAGAATTTCCACTCGCCACCATCCAGTTCATCAGCCACCTGCAACCCCTCGCTGAGTACATAACAACGGCCGATCACATCCCTCGTCTCCAGAGTCTCATTCACACGGTTCCGTGCTTCGTACAAGTGAGCGCAGGTCTGGGATGCATGGGAAGAGAAAAGAGACAGGGCAGAGAGGTTTAGAAAGTATGCTGCCTCCTGGCATCTCTACACACACTTCAGTTGTGGTCTTTTCAAAGGTTAGCACAGGAGAGGGTTCATGGACTTTCCTGGAATGTACCATTTCAGGCTATGAGTGGGGCTTATGCTATAAGCTGCTCCTTTGTGGTGCCTAAGCAATAGGGAAGAGCTTTAACCATGGTTTTAACCATCCTTTCTGGGATAATATTATCTAGAGGTGGAAAAGCCGCAAGCAAAGCATGGTGTTCATCAAATTATAGCCAAAATGTGAGTTGCACATTTAAATATATGAAAATATGCACAAAACAGATAACAGGGATAATTCCAAGACAGGTTTAAACATTTTGGAAAGTAGAGAATGCCTAAAATTCACTTTGGGATTGCTTCAAGGATGAAAAGGCTACTGCTATTTTAATTGATTAACTGATGGATGGAAACAAACATAGAAAGCACTAGTAAATTGCACTTTCTTTTCCTACAATTGCTCAGAAGGCCCAAAGTATAAAATATATTTTAGCCCACGCACCACAGCTAGAGTGGTCTGTACTTCCTATTCAGACCCACTTCATGCACTTCAGTATACTACTGAAATACGTGTGACTTAAATTTGTCACTTTGTGAATGGAATCAAATATGAATGAAAAAGATATGTAGTCTTTCCTGGAATGTACCACTTCAGGCTATGAGTGGGGGGCAAACCATAAGCCAGCGCCTTCCCAGGACTGTGGCAGATAAGCTAGAACTACACTTGAAGAGTGTGATCCCCAAACCAGGATTCCGGCAATCAATAGATGGAGCTGAAAGCTGGAGTCTACAGGACAGGTCCTATTGGCCAGAGAAGGCAGAAGACCTAGTTCCCAGCATTCAGACTAGCCATTCCAAAGGCTTATCTATAGCAAAAACATAATCTGAAGAGGGTTTGGGAAGGGTATCTTTGTTTTTGACTATGTTTTATGGATTGTTGTGAGCCACCTAGAGTCATTGTAAGAGATTGGCGGCCATATAAGTCCTGTAAATAAATAAATAAATAAATCTAAGCACAAACAACAGTCCACAAAGCTCCCAAGATAAGCCTTAGATCCCCTGATATCTCATATGAATTCTTCCTAGGTAATACTATTAAGTCAGCGAAAAAGGAGTTTACTTAGCCTTGCCCACAAACATGCCAGCTTTCTATATGCAGTGAGGAATTACTGCATGATTTTTTTTTTCATTCATCTAAACTGGCTCACCTATGGGCAATGTTCACATGAGTAACTATTTCAAATTAGTAGTAATCTCTTTTGAATCAAGCTTGACTTGTCTGTAATTTCATGGATATGGAACTTTTCCTGATAACAACCTAGAAATGTTTTGCAATTGTCTTCTGGGATTTCTAAAAACTTCTCAGTCTAGCCTATATCCCTGGTATTTTCTAGTATCCCCATTCAAATACTAACAAGGACCAACCCTGCTTCACTTTTTGAAATCAGCCAGATACTTATATTGTAGCCTTTCCCAGCATGATGCCCACCCCGTGTTTTGGAATCTTAGGTCCAGGAAGTCAGGTTGGTTAGGGATTCTGAGAAGATATCTGGACAGTGTTAGACTGGGAGAGGGTTTCCTTACACCAATTGACTATTGTGTTATTTTCAAGTATTCCTCAGAAGAGCACATATCTTTATATTAGACTGCTTGAGTTGTATGAATGCCACCAGAGTAGATAGACTTCTTCAACCCTCCCTGTGCACACTAGTTTCACCCATACAACTTTCTCTGTAGAGAGGACATGATGTTAGGATATGTTTACATGATTTTACTCAACAATAGTATGAAAGGTGATAAACAATAGCATGTAAGGGAGCATCCTTTCACCCAGAATATTAAACACTATTTTACTTGTGTGAACCCAGCAAAGTAAAGCTTGGTTCCTAATTTCACCTCTCCAACTTCACTCTTCACCATCACAGCCCATTTGAAATCTGTCTCTTTGGGTCCTTCCATTTTCCCCAACCCACATGACTTAGCTATAATAACCCACTAAGTTTCTTTTCTCCTAGCTGACCATGCTGCCTCCTCCTGTAACCCAGATTTATGCATTTTAGCCATGCAAGGCTGGACCCTACTAGGTTACCTGGCCCAGAACCAAAGAGGTTAAACAGAATGACCACCCACCCATCCAGTCTTGGCCACTGACCACAATCTTTCCTCCGGGGCCTTGGCTGTTGACAGTAACACCCAGCCACTGGTTCTCCTTGCTCTCCTTCTTCAGGTCAACTGTAAAGTGGAAATGAAATGGAGAGACCAGTTAAACTCAGATTAAGGAAGGAAGACTATTTAACCCTCTGTTACAGGGGCACAGAGGACTTGATCCTTGCTTTAAGTAGTACAACAACAAATTCCAACACATACAAGACACTGGCGAAGGGCACAGCCAGATGGTTGCATCAAAATGCTTTCCTTCAATCTGAGCTGGCAAAAAAAACCATGACAGTTTAAATTGCCAAAATGGCCAAGGAGGGCAGTTCCCAGTGACCAGAAGGGCCTGTCTTCAGCAGCCAATAAGATCTAGACAGATCTCACCCTGACTGCAACAGCAACCAAATCATCAGTGAACTGTGATAGATTGTATCCACAGCAAAAAGAGAAGAAGAAAGGCACTATTATTAAACCTGGAATAGGTAAGAATAAGGGGAAAAAAACAACAACTGGGGCATGTTTGTGCCATGTTTAACAAGACATGCGGATGAGTCCTTAGGATCAAACTAAATTGATTATACAGCATTTTTCTTTTCTTTAGTTCTTCCTTGAAAATATTTATACACCACTATCCATTAAACAATATCGTAGCTTATTTGATTAAAAGTAGCTGTGTGGCTCTGATGTGTATCACAATCACAGAAACGGGGCTTTAACTCCCTTCTGTATCTGAATCCATCAAAGCTATTATTGGCTAGAGAGAGGAAAACGTGTAAGTATCTGTTCTTCCATGAGTAATAAGCAATTCAAAAGGACCAATTTAGACCATGTCTGCAGCATGGAATAAAAAGTTAATCCCCCACCCAGCCCAAATCACACCCGCACTTAGGCAACTGCTAAGACTCCCCTTTATCCCTGCAGTTTTGCCCTCCTGGGAACCTTTCTAACAATGCAGTGAGAAACCAGAATGAGGCGGTAGGACAAGATTTTACGCTGGAAAGGTGTCCAGTCAGGGCCAATAATCATCTCCATTATCATCCCTCATCATTGCCTCATGAATAGTACAGGTCAGCAAGGAAATGCCTCCTAGATCAAATACTGACTTCGAAAGCAGCTGAGCATTTTTTTTTTAAAGAAATGCAAATTGCCAGGATGCAATCATGCAATCTTCTCTGGAAATCACACCTTTTAACTATGCTTCCCTATCAGAGGCATTCACAGGCAGAGGGGGGTAGTAAGAGGTCAAGGGGGAAGATGATGAAAGCAGTGTTGTCCTGTTGTGATGCAACCTCCACCCCTTTTATATATGTGTCATGACTTCAGACACACATAGAAAAAGGGTGCATCATGATGATGCGATCCTGCTTTTGTCATTTTGCTTTCAATCCTGCAGACATTCCTGTTCCCCACCCTGATGACGGTCTCCTGGTGTGTTGATCCAACCCTCCTAATACCTAGCTAGATGGCCTAAGGAATTGAAATTCCACACATTTAGAGGACACCAGGCTGGGGAAGTGACCTATGTTTATCTAGTGGTCAGCAAATAGCACTTTCTGCATGTTCAACATTTTATTATCACATGTTTTGGTCCACAGGTCCCACACTGACTGAAAAGAATTCCATGCTTACCCTTTGGCGAACTTAGGAGGAATCAGAGGCAACCCAGATTCCAAACTGACTCCAGTTTAAGCCTGATCCAAATCAGACAAGGAATGTTGCTGTGTGGAAGGAAGAGTTCATTTTCACCCCAGTTTAACCATACTGGTTCCATACCTCCCTCATCGATGGGCACGCGTTCGCAGTCCTTAGTTTCATGGGTCAAAGGACAGGCATATAAGCCACCAGTTCTTTTGGCCTTTTGACCCGGCAGAGCAGCAGCCTGTGGTGCTCCCACCAACAGCCTGAAAGAAATGGAGGAAAACGTTAGAGGGACTGAAAGAGAATGGGAAGGAGCAAATCCAAGATGGGAGGGAGGGGGCCATCAGACGTGTGTGCTTTTTGCTGATTGCTCTGCATCTGGACAGCTGTGGCATGCTAAGTGAAGCATTTAATTCTTCAACCAGGCCTTTTGTTCAACATGGGCTAGTGCTTCTGTCCTTGCAGTCTTGCTGCCTCATAAAATGGTTTTTTAACCTTTTATAATTTTGCAAAGTATCATCTTCACAGTTTTATTTTTTGCATCTTGTACCCTCTTGCATGGGATTATTTTTAATAACAAAAACAGATAGTAAGTAGCATAAACAAACTGAAGTGTTTGTTTTTGTTTTTTAAGAAAAAACATACTGCATTATGGAGAAAGATTAATGTAAAAAGCAGCATCAAATAAAAGGAAAAATGGGAAGCAGAAAATAAAGGAAAGCCAAGGGTTTGCAGGATTCAGGAATGAAGGAAAATATGGGAAAGGTCAAATTATGGTCAAAAAATGAATTGAAGAACTGAAATTATTATTGTGATGGATATAAAGATGTGAGAGAGAAAAACAAAGAGGGCTGAACACACTTGGGAACCAGATTTCTGCTGAGTTGGCAAAAGCTGCTCGTCTCCTTTCCCCTTCGTGCTGTGCCACTGCAACCTTGAGTATTCCCTCTTCTGACATTAAGTGCTCACTGAAAAGATCAATTAGTTAAAGAGAGAATAAATTCTATCCTAGGCATTTTTGTCAGGAGCACATAGGGGGGAGAGGGAGGTAGTGAACAGCTGGGTAGAAGAGACTATTCAGCTCCTGACCACAAGTGTCACCTGCTCATGCATCTCTACCACAGCTGTCCTTTCCCTTCAGCAACCAGAATTCTTAATCAGAGACATGATGTCACTTGGAGCAGCCCATAGCCCATTTCATGCTCACATTCCTGACCAAAACAGCTTTATTTTGCTCATAATCCAACAATTCCCAGGCCAAGATTTAACCTACAAACTTGTGCTCCCATGCTGAATCACATTTGCAGGATCCCTTTCTTCTCTAAATTATTACATTTCATACTGCAATTTACCTGTTTTCACAGGCTGGATTCACACGTTGTGTTAAGCCATAATGATGTGGCATGTTTGTTTTTGACTTAGCATGCAGCTATTCAATAAAATATGGATAATGTGATCTGTGAACCATGTTATATTCTCATGATTCCCAGAGGCAGGCAAGTCCAGATGTTATTGGATTGCAACTCCCAATATTCTCCATTATTGACATTTTTTATGGGGCTACCCTGGCACATTGCCTATCCTCTGACGAACATCTTATCCACTGTGTCATTTATTTACATTCTATTTTGTAAACTTTCTGCTGGCTTATGAAGATATTGCCTCCCTATAGATTTTATAATCAGAATACTTAAGAGACAAAATATAGAATTATTGTCCTGCTTTCAAAGCCTGCAGAGTCTAAACTAGCCATCCTTAACCTCTTACTCTCCAAATGTGTTGGATTTCCATTCTGAATTCATTCTGGCTTGGGGATTCAGGTCCAACACATCTGAAAAGTACTAGCTTGAGGAAGATTGTTCTAATTCCTGTTTATGTATTCATTTGTTAATATATATACAACTTTTCCTCCAGAACTTCAAGTCAATCTCCTGTACATAGCAATCTGTGATCTATTTTTTCCCTGAACGGGTTGGATGATCTGAGACATAGTGAATGACCCTAAGCCACCTAGGAGTTTCCCTAACTAATGCTAGATCTAAACTTAGTCTCAATTATTCTAGTTCAACACTACATTGGTCCTGTTTGTATGACATATATAACTGAGACAAAGGAGAGTCAAAATGCTACAGGAGATGGGTAAAGGAGTTAATTATTAGCCCCAAGCTAACTCTTCTCATTAAGCTGTGTCATCAGGATAAGAGGGTTGCTGGAGGCTTAACCCCCCTGTCTGACTGCTGAAACAAAGTCAAAATCCTAGAAGAATAGAGCTTCACTGTCTTTGCATTCTCTTCTACATTTTTGCCCCCTTTTTCTTCCCAAGGAAGAAAATTTGTACAGAAGGGGGTTTAGGTGAGTAAGCTCTTTCCCAACTCTTTCTATAGCAATGTTCACCCTGCTTGGCCCACTGCAGATTTTTAAGCATCCCCCACCCCCACCATGAGAGGAAGTGACAGCTTCCCAGCTTCATTTTCAGAAATTGGGAGGATTCTGAAAATGGCCACACCCTTTCTTTTACCAAGACATTGGTAATGCTGCAGCTGTTGCCACACAGCGATAAGTCAATCCCCCAGGGAGTGGGAAGTTTGGACAGCCTGACACATTAAGCCAACACTTTAGCTCTAATCATTGCACAGTGATTTTGTTTGCTCAAAGTTCACTCTCCTTTTTCCAAGATTTCTGGTTGCAAAGCACACGAGTTAAGGTGTAAATACAGGTTGCAAGGCTGCAAATGAAATTGTCACACATTTTGTCAATTTCAGGCTTCGTCTTTCTTGTTCCCTAACCATCACTAGGTTCAATGCCATTCTGGAAAAATGTGGTCAGTTAAGAGGGATGCCAGCTAATTGCATACATTTGGCCTGAGCCTTTGTATTTGACATTCGGGTAAAATCTTCATAGAGCGCACATTGCTCAGTGGTAGGTGGTATGTTCAATCTGAGTTCTAAAACAAAATCTCTTCAGTCCTTATTTCATGTGCATTTCAGAGAACGCACAGATATCTCTAGAACTATAGGAGTTTTGCAGAGGTCCCAAGGAGAAACAATAAAATCAGCTGCAGCTCTCCCTGCACAATTATGCACATACCACACAGAAGTGCCCACAAATCTCAGAATAATCTCAAGTTTGTTCTCTGCTGGAATGAGCAAACCCACAGAATCCTTTTTTTCTCTATGGCGGTGCTGGCTGAATTGGCCATTCACAGTAGGGTCACTGTGGACACAAGAGTTCCCAACACATGGAAATTCATATGAGTTCACTTAATAAGTTGGAGGTCACAGAATAAAAAGAGAAAATCATTACTGTATCAAGGTATTCGCTCATATCCAGTTACATTTAAAAAAAAACACAGCATCACAATGCTATGGTTATTTCAAAACCATAGTTTGGGAAATGGAAAGTCAGCTTCTTTAGCTTAAAAGGGCAATGGGGAACTCTTGGCGTAACTTTAATTTGCACAGTAGCATACCTCCCCACCACTGCCACTTCTACTCTCCGATCCCTCAAAAGCTCATTATCAAACTTGCCACCTTCCCAATGCTGAGAACAATGAGGAAAGTCATTGCTTCTACCCCAAGCTGCCTCGAGTTGTACAGTAACAAAAATCCCCCTAGCCCCATTCCAGCAAAAGGGAAATAAAATAGCCTAAGCGTTCCCCCTTTCACATTCCCCCTTTCACATGTGCATTTGTCTAGTCATTAGCAAAAAAGCTCAGGTAATTCTTACAAGGGGGAGTTGAAAAGCCATCAAGCCACCTTTCCCCCAGAGTCCTAAAGCTCAGGAACCATGATGAGGGAGGAATGGTTGCAAATGCAGAAATGGGCCATCCACAAGAGATGCAGAGCCACCCCCTTAAAAAAAAAAAAGAACTACTGTAGTTTTACTGTAATTGAACCAGAAATAAGCTGGCTCGGCTCTCACATACAGCTGACTAGAAATCCAGAGCTGCTTTTGAACTGGTGCAGTGTTCTCATGTGCATAGGTCTATGGCAACCCCGAATGATAAAACATGTGACAGAAGCCACATGGCTTACATACTTGCATCCAGCATTAGGACACATGTATGAAAAGTTGGGGTTTGTGTGTGTTTCATCATTTTTGCATCTTTGTAGCTCATACCAGATACTTATGTTTGTGTGGAAATGTCCTTAAGCAGATCGGGGTGAAGGATGCATAGCCTAGGTCCTCCTCTGGGTCATGTAATATTAATGGTTAGGGCTAGAAAGAACAGCCAGCTTAAATGTATGGTACTTACATACAGATGTGGAGAGGGAAGAACCCATGGTAGATCTGGAGCATGAGAAAGTGATGCAGTTCAGTGGGTTCGGGCACAAAAAAATCTGTTCCTCTAAAAGTGAAAGGCAATAGTGCCTGCTTAGAAGTAAGCCCCATTAACATCAATGGGGTATTGTAATCAATCCAGCCTTCCCTCCCCACTTGCTAGGCTGGTCCTCTGATGAGGGACATGTCCAGACATGCCCAGGTCAAGACCTACCTGATTTTCCTCTGATTAAGCCTGATGCTAACAAATACTGTCAAAATCACCTGGAAGACATCTGAACAGATCATCCAAGGCCTGCCCTATCTTCAGGGCATGAAGTACTGTACAGATGCTCCCCCCAACACCTGAAAGCTGTGTCACAGCCTTCTTTCAGATAAATGTATACAGACCTGTAACCTTAAATGTGTTTTTTCAAACAACACAGTGAAGGAGTTGTAGCTGTTCTTTATATTTTGTTGGCAATGGGTTGGTTTGCAAACTTAGATGGGACTCTGAACCAAGCCTTGCGTTATGTTGTCCTCCCTCCCCTTCCTCACACATTGCCTTTCACAAGCCAGCAGGAATTATCCAGGGAGATGATAGGTTATGCACAATGGGATAGCCTTTGGATAAAATATAGCCTTTGGATGAAATATAAGGTGAATAGCCTTTGGATAAAATATAAACTGGGAGATCTCCATGCAAAGCCCAGCTCAGTCTTGAATCAACTGAACAGCCCTAAACACACAATATCTCGATTTCTGTTCTCATCTGTAAAAGAGGAATAAAAAACTCTACTTGCAAAAAAACACTATTAGAAGAATCCAGAATTGTCATGCACTGCAAGAGCAATCTTAAATCTGGATGGCTAGTCAAGAATAACAGACATACTCAAAGAACAAGTGAAAAACTAGCATAGCTTTCTCACTTGACATCAGATTTTTCAACATAACTGTTTGGCTTTGTAAAGAATAATCAAAACCACATCAAACCAAGAGGTAT